AATGCAGCTACATTATTCATGACCGTGCAAACACTTGCATGGTAGCGCGTGACTCATGATGAGACACGTGCTTTATTTTGTTCTTGACGAGACAAGTATCAAGCCAAACATGACAGTATGAGAGTAATTAGACTTAAATTTATTAGTATTCCTGTTAATTTCTGTACTATTTGGTTTACACCCTTAGCTTGGAAAAGATGAGAGACGCGATTAAATTACATTTCAAGTATCATGTCAATAATCTCACGATGTAAGATTGAAATCATTTAGGGAACTGAACAACTTGATAACAAAATAATGACAGATGAACTCATCCTATACCATTACGTCAAAAAGATAAGTCGTATTTATTCTATTTGGTTTCATATTGTCTGTTTACATTTTGGGTTGATCAGATCACGAAAGATTCAATCTATTAAAAATATTTTTTTCTTCATGATGTATCATTAAAATTTGACGTAGTATCAAACGGGTCCCGCATATCCTGGCGTGTTGACGACCGACTGACGTGCAACTCGAGTACCTTCGTATATAATTTTTCTGGATAGTCTACGTACATGTATCGCCCGCATAGGACATCCGGACTCTCTACTCTCATCTGCGATATCCGGGCTCGAGAGCCAATCTACTTCTCTATAAGAGCTATCCGGCTCTTTATGCTCTAATGTAGCCAGCTGCTGCGTGAATATACCAGCTGTTGCACATCTGAACGGATGCCAACTATGCTGCACTAGCTTATTCCTGCTGTGCTTCGTGTGATAAGGGCTGCGCCCGGCGAGCGCCCACGTTATATATCTACAGGAGGCTTACACAGACAATCAATTAATCTAGAGAAGAAATTACGTAAATGAGTCAAGTATTTACGCACGTTATTTTGCATTAACATTTCACTACTTTTAGATGATGTGTTGTGCATACGAGACGTTGACGATGTTTCATAAGTTAATCAGGAAGACTCATAGTATTATTTTTATGCAAAGTTTTCGATTCATGTATCATGAGCAGGCTATTTTTTTTTACAAATTATCGCATCTCCATACATATATACGTATTAAACAATTCTACATAAGTTCATAAATTTTATAAAATCAACGTAGTATCTGTCTGGGATCAAGCAATGGGTAATCTTCATTCATAACTTAAGTACTTATTCGCTTCACTGATGAGTCACAAAATCATACCAGATTATTAAAATAAACTACTACGGTATAATTTACGTGTCTTTGATGTATCTCATTCCGGATTAGGAAGGAAGTTGAAGTTGAAGAGAAGTTGAAATCGCCGGGGCGTCGAAACCTCATGCCCTAGCTAGAGCCTCATCCCCGGCCTCATGCCACGGCCTAATTAATGCCAAGGCCTCATGCCACGGCCGCATGCCACGGCCTCATGCCATGGCCTCATGCCCCGCCTCATACCATGACCGACAGAGACACATTACTGGGACTTGTTATAGTGCAGACGTAATTAGCGCAGACTTCTTCTAATAAATGGTTGTTACTTCAGCGCCTCTAGGCACTCCCTGTATACGAAATACGCGCATGAGAACGCGACTCTTGCGTTAACCGGCATCGACTATAATAAATGTTGTTCGTATTCTTAGATACTCGAAAAGCTCAGTTTACTTCAGTGTGTGTGATGTCATATTTACTGCATCATTTTTCAAACGTTTTGAAATAACATCGATACGGGGAACGGAAGATCTTTCGTTCTTTTTATTCCGATCAGGACGATTTTGATCATCTTCCGATCTCAAAATGAATAGTAGTTATTTTCTCATTAATATGCTAATGCTTTAAATGCACTTGTGTAGTTGTATGCTATAAATACTGATGGTTACATGCAGCTTTTTCTCAACATAGAGAAATAATCGAAAACACGACATCGCTACCGTCAATTGTGCGCCTGGTCATTAAATAGGCATAGACATAGGGGGGCATGCTTCAGGACTGGTCGGAAAATTCAGTTTTAAAATATCAGTTTGAGTGACGTGACCCATTTAGACACGCTGTAGAGGTCGAAAAGGCAACTAAATCTTCACTTGAACATGATAAGGAAATGAGAATTGATCTCTTAATGGTTTATGGCGCTTGAAGTTATTTACGGCCTCTAATCTGCACGGTAATTCGACCGTTTAAAAAAAATTTTCATCAGAGGAGAAAAATTTATATCGGTCAAAAATGTTCTAAGTTAAAGGCAGTTGTTGTCAAGCAACAACGGGAAACTTGAGCGATATAAGTGATTCATTTCAATCCGTTTTTTCAACGAATGCCCTGGGTTAAATAACGAAGGTCTATGTTGAATTAATTCAACTCGCAACTTGTTGAAAACGAAACTCGAGTTGACTCTTCTAAGGCTTTAATCAACATAAATGAATACCGCTACTTTACAGCAAGCTTAAGGACGACATTAGCGCAATATATTCATAAGTGAAACATTATGAACGTCGAGTAACTAATTATTAAATTCTCTTTAAGAACGAAATGAGTGGGTTATTAAATAAGGGTATTAACAGTACAAGAGCTGAGTCAGTTCTGTTGATGTTCGATACTTCTAGTTCAAAGTAAAATACTGGAATAACCTGTAGTAGTACAAATTTCACGACACAACTTACTAAACATGTATTTTCGTCAATTCAATTTCGGCTCTTTAATTTGATTATCACACACGCCTAAACTTCTTCCACCCTCAAGTTCTTCCTTGCCCTCACACTTTAATTATCATAAACACAAAAACTTTTCCCTTACCTTGAAGTTTCATCACCACTCACACCAATGATTCTCTCCCAATTTAAAATCCTACTGTTGGGCTCACCACGCCCACTACAACTTTTCCCCACCTCAAAGTTTGATCACCATAGACACCACAATTCCTCTCCAACCCATCAGTTCTGTAATTATAGACGACACAATTCCAACCGTAACCTGCAGTTTGATCATTATAGACACCACGATTCCTCCCCTACCCTTTAGTTTGGTCACCACAACTCCTTCCCGCACCTCAGAATTTCATCACAACTCACACTACTACATCTCACTCACCCTACAGTTGATCACCCACGCACATCTCATCACATTTGCCCGGTAGCGCTGGCGGTGCCCGGGGCAAAAGCCTGCCATCGGCCAGTTAGCATCCGGCCCACAGCCTAGCACTGGGCATAAAGCCGACCAACGTTTTAAGTTTTACTTGTTCCAGGATGAAAAGTTACTAATTACCTATACTAGTGAGTTAAATCTTTATGGCAGAAAAATTGACTGCTTAAAGAAAATAAAGCACATATTACGATTTAGAGCTTGTAATCAAATAATACAAAACAAATCATAACTATTAAAAGCAGTATTCATGGTGGATGGTCAAGTCCCATGGCAACTCAAGATTATCCAGAAAACTTGGAGTTAATATTTGATCATACAAACAGAAACACCGTTTTTTTAACTCCCACAAAAGTTCAGTGGGAGGAGAAACTGGAGCGATACTGGCCTGGAATCTGTGGGCCTGCACTTGTCCTTCCCAGCATCCACCTCAAGCCATTAGATGCCCAGTCGTCGTCCTTCATCCAGTTGGCAGAACAGCCAGCCTTGCTGGTGCCCCCTCTTGTTCCCAGCCGGCAGCCGCAGGCGATTTCTCAGTCACTGCGACAAGTCAGTGTATACCCAGGTGTCGTTGAGTGAGGTTGTGTGGCTTGGTGCTTGTGATGTGCTGTGTCCACTTGATCACATTGCATCGTCGATGTTGCCGAAAGACCCGCATTATAACTGTATTCCAACATACCTACACTAATCGCTGTTAGACTCCTAATATTGGTCAAAACGTGGAAGTTTATCAAAGCACTTGTTGATGTGCACGCAGCCGTGGGCTTAGTAAAGAACAGCCTTGAACGCGCGATAGAATTACTCCAACCGGAAATCGCTTCGCCCTTACATCTCGTACAATTTCTTTGCATTTGTTCTTAAGAATTATATGGGCTTTGGTACATTATCGAGTAAATTTATCTGCTTACATATGTGCAGTTTGATCCGTCATATTGGTTTTGTTTCCTCTCCCTCCAAAAAACTTATTTTTGTAAAAATTTCAAGGATTGTATCTTGTTTACTGTTTATGTACGTATACAAACGCCAAACGATAGTGCTTTCCACATTCACAGACTTTAAGTCTAAATTGTTGGGATTTCCATATTTGTAGGATGATTGATATTTCGCACATCACGCAGATCATTTGACAGGGAAAGTTTAGAATCTCACACCTATTTCTTATGTTCATACATAATTTTGTCAGCTTTTTCCCGTAGCTAGTGCATCTTGAGACGTGCAAGTAATGAAAGCTGTTCCCCTGCGTTGCATGTAGCAGTTTGATCGCCTGAATTTTTGGTCTACATTTCATATTTGAAAGTTTTAAGTGAAAGCATCGCAAGTTATCCGTGATAATAGTTGATGGATTAATTGCAATGAATTTGTAATAGGAGTAGCTCTAGAAATTTCGAAATTTGTAGGTCGGAGGAGCCAGGACTTTTAGTCCCCAGTATGAGACTTATTGGGGCTTATTTCAAAGCATTGAATCCTAAGTAAATTAAGGTACTATTATAGAAATGAAATAGGTCACAGAAAACGGAAGGAGATATGACTGCACTGTGCGTAGGCCTCATTACGTATACTATCGGATCTCATTTACATAATTGATAAATGCGTGAATAACGATTTTAACTGGTTACGACTATTTTCGTCAACCTTATAATTTCTTTTATACTTCGCTATTAAGTTTTTGCTATATTACTAGGTGTAATTTTTTACGCATATTTTATTCGACTTGCTAGTTATTAACACCGACGTGTCAGATGATACGACGTATCTGTATTTATGAAACTCCTCAATGAAATAAATGCACTTCCATTCGAACTTTCCTCCAGTTCTTAACCTTGCATGTGACAAGGTATAAATGCCGCTTTAACTTATTCAAAAATAAACATCTCATTTGATTTTATTTTAAGAGCAAGAGCTTCCTTCTCTTCGAGCATTTCTGAATAGTCATAGGACACACCACATTTAAATATATTGATATAATTTAAATCTCTTTCCTAGTCCTCTCTGCATTCCTATTCATGAAGGTTGCTTGATTTTTCTCCCTGTCAGTGCCGATGATTTTGGAGAGACACTAAAGTGTAGAATCGGTTTCCAAAACGGTCAGTGTACAAGGCTGTGTGCAGTGCAGCCAGCGCCTTGTAGTGTAGTCTGTACGCTGCAGTGCAGCGTCGGTACAGAGTCGGACTTTCGAGAGCACATCTCGCAGGATGCACATCAATAGTGAGTACTATCCTAGTATGTTGGTATATTGTCTCCCTGGCGCCTCATCGTAGAAGATATTTCATCATCGTTAGGACATATGTTCCTTCACCAATTTAACCTAATCTACAAGTAATCATGTTTGCAAAACGCACTTCATGCAACGATGAAATTTAAAGTGAATTGTTGTCGTGATGAAATGTCCCAATGATGAATTGCCACAATGATGAAATCTCTCGCATGATGAGGTGTCTGACCACCGTTGGAACTGTAGTGTTTAAATCGGGTTATAGAATTTGTTGTATTTATATCTGTTTCGGTTCTGAATCCTCAGTTACGTACTAATTCATGATTGAAGGTATGTATACATGTTTGTTGTGTATTTGTGGCTCGTAATGGATTTTGTTGATGAGAAAAAGGTTGTCTTAGATTGAAGTTAAATTAAACTTTATTCTGGTGTTTGGTTTCGTTACATTGGGTGGATGAGGCCATTCTTTACAATCGGTGGAAAACTGTTGAGGTTATTAGTTACATAAGGTTGAAGTTTTCTTCAGCTCAAGGTTGAAGAAGGTTTATACTTGCCGTTTGAACAGACGAGTCAGTTGGCCGTTGGGTCTGGAAGATAGGGTTGTCCGTGAGTCATGTGTGTGTGGCTGCGTGTTGAGAGCGTGCGTGGTTGCAGCAAGACGTCGCTAGCCGGATGTGCGGGAGGAGAGTCGGACAGGTGAAAGTTCTGTGTAATGTTCGGAAGGGTATCAGGTGCTCGAGCTTGTGCCCCTCTCATCCTCTTGTCGTCCTGACTATTAAACTTTCTACTCGATATGTAATGTCTCGTGATCCTGACCATTTTTGCCATGACCTCACTAATTCTTCGTATTATGACGGACACTTGTATATAGGCACAGGGGTTGGACAAAATTAGGGAAACGCCTTACATTTTGATATCGTAATTTTGAACATGTAATAAGCAATGAAAACGTGGCATATTTTTATGTTTTCTTGTTTATTGTTGCTGCTAATTGAATTTTTATCCTTTCAATGATTTTTCTAGTAAATTTTTTTTCTATAACCTAACCTATAACCTATAAATGGAAAATCTCTCTGACTTATAATGAGGCTAAATTGTTGGTGCCCGATTGGTAGGTGCTAGTGTAACAGAAACTTGCTCGACGTTTCTAGAGGTACTGTCTCAAAAGTATATATATATTGCTTTCGAAATGGAAATGCCCTCAGCAAAACACAGGTCTGGTTGAAAGTCAAAGTTGTCTGAGAGAGACATTCGGTACCTAAATCGAATTGTGAGGGACAATCGAAAGACCACGGCCGGTAAAATTACTGCAGACCTCAATTTACACCTACAGAACCCAGTTACCATAAAGGCTGTCCGCCGAGAGCTGCCCAGATCTGGATTCTATGGAAGAGCTTAATAGAGCTGCAATTAAAAACCTCTAGTTTCAAATACCAATGCTTCAAAGCCTTAAGTGTGGTGCAAAAACCACCAGAATTGGTCCCTCGAGCAGTGGAAAAATGCTATTTTCTCTGACGTATCATCGTTTAACTTATTTCAAACTTCTGACCAACATGGCCAAACATGGCGAGAGAAATTTCATGGCGAGAAATCTGTGATGATCTGGGGCGTTATTCCTTGGAAACCATACGGACCAATGATTTTTCTTCATAGAAGAATCAACATCTGTGAATATTTGGGAATTTTGGAGGATTAAGTTCAATGTTGTAAGTTTTGTAGAACTAAGTTCAAAAAAGTTCCACAATCAAGCACTGATTGCGAAGGAGAACGCCTCCTTCCAACAAGATAATGCCCCGATCCATACACATGGAATAGTTGAAAAATGGCGTGAGTAACCTTCTATTGAAGTTGAGCATCAAATTGACCACCACAATCAGCAGACCTGAATATTTTCGAGTATTTATTGTCGATTCCAGAGATGCAAGTCAGAAGTCGATTCCCGCCGCCATCGTATTTAAAAGAGCTGGAGGGAGCTTTAACCGAAGAATGGGTTAAAATTCCTTTTATAAACAATTCACAATTTTCATGAATCAATACCTCGGAGAATTGAGGCTGTAATTGCCGCAAAAGGACCTACACCATACTAAAATATATTTGTGAATTTCTCAGGTGTTTCCCAAATTTGTTCTAACCCCTGTATATGCCTGTTTTTGAGTTAGGATACATGAAGCGCATGGTTGCAGTTCATGTATTTGTGTATATAAGAGTATCTGATGTCTCGCGATTCTGAATACATTTGTCAACATCCACCCCATCGGATATCGCGCGAACCTACATTCGTAGTCAGTCAGCTATGTCCGTAGCTATGTTACACGATTCTTACTTCATAGTTTACACGTCATCGAGTATCTCGTAATCCTGACTACATTGTTCTCTTCTCGGCGGGTAATATCATTTCTGACCTCATTCTATTGTATTCTCCTAACTACACTTGATTAATTATTTATTTATCCCATGCTGCCCATTTTGCTCGTCACTTACACGTGACTTTTAACCGCATTGCATGAAGCATCACCCTTTCACAATATTATTTTTAATTTTTATGTAACCCAAAATGCAGTAAAATCTTGAAAATCTAACGGTAAATTTATTCTATCGAACCGGAGGTTTCGGCGTTGCACCTCTGCCTACTCAATTTCATTCAATGAGCGTTTCATTTGTTTACCCATGATTTAGCTTTTCATTTGTTAATGAGCTTGCAACCCATGATAGCAAAGAGCTAGCAACCAGCACGCCTTTACCCGAGTAAGTTCCAAGCTTGCTTCCTCCCCCAATAAATTATTACGCCATACCACCTCCCATGCACGCTGAGTCGAACATAGATTAAATACAAATGCCAACAGAATAGAATCGTTCGGTATCCTTTTTTTAAAGTACAATAAAAACTCAAGTTTATTTGCAAATAAACAGCATGTTTGCATGCAGGTATTTTATTCGAACCCTACTTTAAGGTACAGCGTATCGAAAGAATTCCTTCATTAACGGACTATACCATATGCGGTGTATAATAAGTTGACCATCACCGGGTGCTACTGCATCAAGATTTTTCACAATCTTGAAGGTGACTGACTGAACAACTTGTAAGATTTGCTTTGAAGGAGTTGATAGCTGCAGACAACGGCAGTGAAGTGTTGCTGAGAGAAAACGTCATTCTCGATCTTTTGGCACCATCAAGAAGAGCAGTTAAACTGAGGGAGAGTCGGTCCATAAAGTCCTATACCATATAGCGGGAAATTTCAGAACACGCGACAAGCAAGTGTGTCCGTAAAGATATCAGGTACCTACACAACGTAAAAAACGACAACAAGACTCGCCTCCCCGACACTCCTGTAAATTTCAGAAATGACTCTTCGACATCATCTTCTTCAGAAATATGGCTTCCAACTCTGGTGACTTTAACCTCACGCACCAAGTTGTGTTGGGTGCAGCTAAACATTGTTAAAATGACGCTCATCCGATGTGTTGGTCTGTTATCTTTAATATAATTCCAAGGAAGTGAAAAAGGCATATCAAGGATCGAGATCAAATCAAGGATTTCACTGACGCCTGAGGTTTTTACTGAGTAGGAGGTCGCTAAAAAGTAATGATCCAAATTTTGTGTTTTTACTGTTTTGTGATTTTTAAGCGATGTAATTTTTAAGCTATGTACAAAACATTGGCACTCTCCAAACGCAAAATCTTGCTTATTAAGTTACTAAATTCATCAGTTATTGTAAATTATCAAATGGCGGTCATCATGTCCTTTCACTGGTCCAAGGAAGAGCGCCGAAGTTCGTGTTTATTTTTATAAGCACGGATGCTTGTATTGAGGTTCTGGGCCCTTCTATTATTGTGACGTAACCATGACATTCTCCTTTGACTGTCGTGCACGGGCAAGATGCTTGCCTTCCCTCCAAGCAAGAGCCGTCTATTTAGAAATTTATATTTACCACATTGGTCGAACGAAACTAAAACTGTCATTCATCAACTGTGACTGGCCAGAAAATCAAATTGTATTCGTCTCTGAGACCCAGTGCTGTAGCTGTACGTACGTTCAGATGCCTTAATAATCGCGTTATCACGAGGAACTAAATAAATCACTAACATAAAAAAAGTGTTGGATCCATTACTCACTAGTAAAGGACTGGTTATTATTTATTACTTTACTGTTTTTTTTTCAATTTGAGTAATCCCACTACCTAGAATGTCTCTAATTATCGGTGTGTTACGGCAGTATCGTGCTTGAATATTGCAAAATTTTCATGCTAATCTCTTTTTGAAGCACCGCATCTTGCTTGACTACCGAGGCGCCGCGAAGACGTCGAAGACAAAGACGGTTGACCGGATGCTGAAGTAACCTTACGCCGGACTGGTCTAAGCGTTGCAACACTTGTCTCACGCCGCTGCCGTTATATTCCTAAACAAGAGCAGCTCTGTGAGCTCAATGTAGCCATGCTCACAACCTCACATTACGGCATATAGTTAAATTTATTTGATCACTACTTATTTAAAATCTTAAGTGGAGTTCTAAATGGATGAAATTTGTCGCATTCATTAGCAGGATCTTATATGTTGTATATACGTTTGAGGGAGTTTTCACTACTATGATCATATATATTCCTTGTCGTATAGTGGAGTGTAGGCCATTTTATGATAAATTATTTTAAACCGTGACTGATTGTCTTCCACATTGTCTTTCCGTAACGAATTTCTTTCCCTTCATATCCACACAAATAAGTTTTTTGTGGCACCTGTCCCACTGAATGGATGAGAAGTTGGATCTTGATAAAACTTGATTATCTATAATTAATCTTTATCCATCAATTTTTCGGTCATTTTTTTCAAATAGAACAGATGATTTTTTTCAGAAATTTTTGTTCTGGTATTTGCATGGCTGGATGTTGAATGATTTGAAGCAATGCTGTCTTTGTACACTCGGTGCGCGCGCCTGACCTGCTATACGGCAAGAATGCGACGTGGAGCATTATCGTCTTACGGGCCTTCTTTTGTTATC